TAATTTTAAGGCAGATCTTGTCAGCGTAAATCGCTCCCTCAGATTCCCACCGGACCTAATCATCTATCCATTCTTCTTCTGTAGCTCCACATTGTTGTTTTGTCAAAGCATAATTAACCACAGTTGCAGGTTTTTTCAAAATAGCCGTGATAACATGCTGAGTAAAACACTAACATACTTGTCCAGCCAGGGACATTCAGTGCTGCCAGCACCACTCCAGACGTCCCTGAACCTTAAGAATGAAACGCACCAAAGCAAAAGCTTTCTGGGGACTAAAAACAGTCTCCCTGGAACTTCATTTAGACTCTGAATCCTTCAGTGGGAACATTAAACCAGGAAGGTACAGAAAAAGGGATTCCTCAATAGGTTCCCCGGGTCCCCAGAGGACGTTCCTGCAGTGGAAACATGGTCTTACATAAGAACCTCCTCCATTCACTGTGAGGATTTTCATGTTTTTAAGGGGACATGTGTTCTTTCCTGGGTTGGTAAAAATTTTATCACTTGTAGGCAGATGGAACTGCTTCAAACCTACTGAGAATATGGAGTCGCACATATAATAAGAAAAGAAAATCAAACTATACAGGTCACATGTAGAGTTGAATACAGCCATTTTAAAAAAAAGTAGAATATATTACACGTCTGTCTTTCTTTTGTTGTTACAGTTAAAACATCTGAATGATTAAATTACCACCAATGCCATAAAACAAGTGAAAAAAAACATAAACTAAAAATGAAGGCGCCGGAGGAGATAAATAGAAAAGTTAAATAAATGCATTTAAAAAATAATTTAATAACCTATTAGTGAGAAAGAAAAACCAATTGGAGGTTAGAGCACTGCAGTCAGACGGTACCGCGGAGGATAAAACAACTAATTTGCGGGTACGATTCAATAACTTGAGCTCATGAATTAGCAACCAGTGAGCAGGATTTAGCCATTTTTTGGTCTCGATGTGATATCATATTTTTTCCTCCTTTCTTCGAGCAAAGAGCAGCGAACGCCTGTGACGCTACTTTTATTTTTTATTATTTTAATTTGTTCTGATAACCTTCCATAGAAAAAAACTGTTCCTCAATTATACAAATAGGTTGTGCAGGAAAGCTTTAAGATAGCAAACATTCATCAGTTTGCGAATTTCATGAATCAGCTACTGTCAGCATCATTTCAAGCTTAAGCCAACCTTAAGCCTATCTGGAATGAACAATGCCTTTGAATCTCTTAGGGAACATTAAAATGTAATAGCAAAAAGCACCGTATTGTTCTCTGCCGAGATCAAAGCGACCGGCTGTGATCAAATTTTCATAGTCATGATGTTGTGAAATAATGATTTATGACTCAAAACAGGTTTTCTTCTAAATCAAAGGAAAAGATGTTATTATAGTCAAATGTACCTTCAATTTGAAGCCTGCCTCATTTTCAGGATGGATTATTAGAAATAATGGACTGTGGCGATTTCGCAGGTGCTACTGACGACAATTATTTAATGAACGTGTGCCGCAAACGGCTTTTAAGGAGGAAAGAAAAAGTGAAAACTAAGGGTGTAGATGTCAGAAATGATAAATGATTTACTGCTTAAACAGGAGAGAACTGCAGAAAAATGTAGTTTATCCTTAAAATATCAATCACAGCAGCTCTCACGCCGGTAAATTATCTGTCTTTGATGTTTAACACAATAATATGAAGTTATTAGCATTTTTTTTGAAGGTGTGCTTTGACTTTTTAAGCATTAATGGGCTCTAATTTTTTTTAAAAAAAGAAAAGATTCTATCTCTAAAGAATTGCCTGCTAATGTGAGATACACAGCCATGGCTACAGTTTGGTATAAATAATTCATATTGTTATTAACTTAAAGTTACCGCGGCTGCTAAAGAGATGACAGCGAAATGTCAGAATGCCAGAGTCTGAATTAAATTAAGGTTTCTAGCGCAAAGAAAAAAATAGACTTAAGGTATACAAATAAGCGTTGGGTTAAGAGTAAAGCGTCATGCAGGCTGTGCACTGATTAAAACAGGAGTGTTTCTGTTCCGTCAGTCATGTGTGAGACAAATGACTATAAAATAAAAAAAACCCACATGGATGAGAAGCTTTGTGTGCAGACACGCTGTCACAGTAATGAAGTGACCAGAAGGCCATCAAAGAAGAACAGAAGGCCATCAAACAGGAGCAAAATCATTTTTTAATGTGTCTAATGGTTTGTAGTTGCACTGAGAGTAAAATCTGTGGCCTGATTTAAAACATGAAGTTAAATTGTTATTTAACTGGTTGCCTCTCAGGAACTCTTAACCACGGATGTCCAAAAGTGGATTTTTTTGCCAAAAGCCGATAT